TGTGTACTTTCAAGCTACTGAGATTTTAGACTGATGCACAAACTAAGTGCAAACGGTTTGTAAGCCTTCATAAGCTAGCGTTTTAGGGAAACCTGAAGACAATTTTCTTTCCAATTCATATACTAATACTTCCAGGGTTTTCAACCTCGAAAGTTAACATCAAACCGAAGGTACTCAACACCACATTTATGGTGTACTCAGCAGGTACTACATGTAGTAATAATTAAATCAGAAATAACAAGGAAGGAATTTGTCTCATTGTATCGTTCTTAAAAGTTATAAAATGTTGAAATCCAAAGATGAAAACACAAACTAAATTGTTTTTAAGTCTAAAGAACTCGAGTTTGCTATAGTTATAACTAGGATTGCTTTCATAGCAGTGAAAGCCAGTTGGGCAAAGCGATCATTCTTATTTAGCAACGTAAATCAAATCTGTAAAATACTGCACCTATTCGATCAGTGGTCGTTTACAAAATGCGAATGAAAACTTAGGACTTTCTCTGTATTATTTGATCAGTGGTCATCATCCTAATTTTTCCTACGTAGGTACTGTGTTTAGGTCGTGGCTTGTTTTTAACATATGCTATGATTCTTTGTTTTGTTAACATTTACGTCGTTATTTTGTATCAATTATGGCAACCTATAAGGTCAATATTAAAATTTAAAAACTTCGAGTTACTTTTAACTTACCGGTACAGTATATAGACATTATCCAAAATTGAAATCGGTTTCGTCTAAACCTTCTTAACATTTGACAACCCGACCTTGGTAAGTTTGACTGAAAATGTTATTGAGTTAATGTGTTAGAGAGTTAGCATTGAAGTCGATGTAGTAACACTTCGGCCCAGTAACATTTCGGCCAAACTCAAATTTCTTAGAAAAACAGTATCACTTCGTCCCACTCGCTTTTACAGATGATTAAATAAGCTAATGGAGTAACATTTCGGCCCGACGAAAAATTCACAAGGGTTGAGGAACGCAGTTCAGGTAGTAAGAGGTACATACCTGTATACTTTGCAACCACCCTCTGGTGGAATGTCGCCCAACCGTCACCCCTTGCATCCTCTGACCTCACATGACGGAGAATCGGTGGAATCTTACCTAACCTAACCTAACCTAACCTAACCTGTCAAATATTTTGTTGGGACGAAGTGTTACTAGTGGGCAGGTAGAGAGTTGGACCGTAGGCCACATCTGAGGGTTTCGGGCCGAAATGTTACTGGGCCGAAGTGTTACTTGGGCCGAAGTGTTACGACACGTTGAAGTCGATCCCAAAGAGCTCCGCTCAATTAAAGCAGTAGGCGCGCATTACTATTCAATGTTAAGTTTTGGATCAATCACGTAACAAATAACAGATAATTATTGCAACCGCAATTTGACTTAGGTCCGCTGGCAAAATACATCAAACATCAACAAGTGGCCCCATTATTTTCACGCCATCCATTTCCATTTTCATGTGGTGGTCTCATTATTTTTCTTCTTCTTCTCCACATGGACTTGAGTGACATTCATTTAGTTTGATGGCTGGATCTGAGTATCTTTAAAATTATTTAATAATTTTTGTGTAACTATTCTGCGTTTATCACTAAAAAAACGATCATACTGGAATATCTGAATTCATCTAGTAAAAAAAAACTTAGTTATTCACCCAGTGGCAACATCTTTTAGATGGGTTTTTTAGCGAACATCTAAACTCAAATACGTTGAGAATGTGAGAATATATGCGATATGGAATGAGGGTCGAAGAATTAGAACAAGAGACATTTGCGAGAAAATATCCAAATTTGGGTATACGGATGAATCTTATTGACTGAAATACCAAAACCTGACTCGGGACTCTCCAGGATCGTAAAGGATGACGACCTCACCAACCCCAACCCACGGACTCGGTGACTCAACTCTTACACAATCTGAAGGGACGGCAGACGCGGCGGCGAGAAAGCGCGGTGGAAGTCGATGGCAGATCCGCTTCTGGAGGGAAAGTGACGAGCCCTGAGGGTGTGTCAGGGTAAAACCCGCGTTACCTCAGAGTTCACTTATGAAGGGATCAGTAAGACTTTAATCAATGGAAAGAGTCGAGAACGTAATATCTGATGCAACTACAGCATAACTTGCCTTTCTTCGATAATTTCAATTAAACCCTACCATTTTTTAAGTCCATAGTTAACGGCTCTGATAGAAGGACTAACTTAATGTTTTTGTTGACAATCAAATAACATAAACTGTTTGGCAAATCATAGTTTGGTAAATGAACAGCAGCCGTTAAAAAAAACTCTTTTGGGGGATACACGTATTTTCACATTCGAATTTCACTCAATGAAAATGCATTTCCTTCACACATTTCTATCTTCGATGGAGATGCTATCAGTGAATTGCAAAATGCTGTGTATCGACCTTGTGAACACTTCAAAGCCTTTATAGGTTGTAGTTATTCTTGTAATTTATGATTTATGTACTAAGGCTAAACTAAACTATTTAGAACGTTTTACGTTCCCCAATGTAGAAAAGGTTTCACTCAACTGAGTAACATATCATTTTTGGAAGTTTGTGTTGTAATGTTGCTGTAGCTCCAGGTGGCCTATGAATCATTGGCGACATTATCCCTTGGCTACACGATCTAATTATTGGAGAGGTTTGAATGTCTTGCCAGTAGTCCCAAGTTCTAAACAAACCAGCCACGATCCCCTTCATTTGGGGATATGTTGAAGACCTTTCACTGGCGTGGTTGACATTAATACGCAGCCTAACATATAAAAATAGTCGGGCAAACCACAGCGTGGAGGTTGGGAATGAGAGCGCGAGGTGAATATCTGTCTTGAGGTGGGAATCATAATACCAAATTCCCGCTAATTCTCTCGGGAGGCCCGGGCGTCGCTCCAGTGACCGCGGCAGGAATCTGGGGACCTACATTCCAAGGTCGAGCTGGGACCACCGTTAGGCCACGGACCCGGTCACTGGGTGATGAGGTGCTTTAGCATTGTGCAGTGATGCAAGACGTGCGGGAATTATCGTATGTACGATAATTCTGATGAAATACAACAAAGGGAAATCCTTAGCATTAAGTAAATACGACTTGAATAAAGGAGGACACGATAAAATTTGAAAAGTGGAATAATTGGAGGAACCATAAATTCTTTGTTTGCTCCAGCATTGAACTCGACAATTTCATTTATGTTAGACCTACAATTATGTTTATAAGAAGATTCTGCTTATTCCTAGTTTGATTTAGCGCATAATTTGTACTACAGACTAGGTTTTTGTCTCCCTAGTCTGTGGTTGAACTGTCCAATCGTAGGTTGTAAGTACACACAATTGGACATCTTCTTTACATATTTAGATAACCTCGAAGCGTTTGAAAATTCCATTCACTGGTCATTGTTTTATTTTGGCCGATTTTGCCTCATAATATAGTTATGAATGATCCCGTACCCTCAGAATGGTGTGTTTGATACAGACAGAATATACAGACAAAATACCCAATATTCGAATAAAACTGACGGAAAAAAAATCTTCAAACAATCAAAATGCATAATTAGTTGAAAATCCGCATAAAACGCACAAATCAAAGATGCAACACCTTTAAAACCTTGATAAAAACGTAAATTATCCATTTCAATTATAAGCACAATGGAAACACAAACGGCACACCCGTAATTCGCTGTCACCGGATAATCATAAATGGATATTACACATCGAACATATTAATTAAACGACTATTAAATGCATTCACTTTCTTCAATTAACTTTCAATCACAGATCCATTCCGGACGTCCGCCGTTTGCCGTTCCACTCCGGATAATCGAGGGACGGATAAAGAGCAAATCAGCGACCATGTTGTCGTGCGGCGGACGCGATTTCCACAAATTTTCCTGATAATTGGTGATGTGGTTAACTCGCGGAACGGAACATGAAACACGTGATCTGAGGGAATCGGTTTGTCTTTTATAGCGCTAGGTTTAAAACTGAGAATATATATTCATACGATAGAAAAATCCAAAACGGTATGCAAAATTGGGTTATGTTAGATAATGTAACATTTGTAGGAACCGAAAACGGAAAGTACATTAAAAAAACTCGCACACAAACTTATCTTAACTTTACACACTTATCAGATGATAAATATGGATAAAGCATATTTCAAGCTGTCCGGTATAGCCTACTACAATACGTAGAGAGCGTTTTGAGGCTCAAATATCCATCATTGCTTTATTACGTTCCTGTTATTAGCTGAAACGTGCATACTGCAAACCCGTAAAGTAAGAAACACAGTAAATCCCTAACCGGATATCAAACGACACAATGATATATATATTTAATGTCTACGAGATATTTTTGTTTAGTTAGTTGCCACGTTCACTTACAGAATATTCTCAAGACGTTTGTATTTCCCAACCCAATAGCATGTTGCATATTTATGAGGTAAACATGCACTGGAATTCGCTTGAACATATACTTCACAGAGCAAGGTTGTATTTAAAACCCCGCCGACCTAAATATTGAGGCACGTGGAGTTTAATCATAGTTTCGGTTTTGTGAGAGACACTGTCAATAGGTCGAAAATACTCTAAGTAAGTGTAAATCTAATAGGTTTTGTGAATTTTTCGTTACATTTCTTGATAAAACATCAAATCAGGGGAAATACTTTTTAAATCCATGAAATATAATAAGCATAATATAACGAAAAAATAAGCCCTAGTGAACTTTTCCTTATTATTAGTACACAATATTTTGATAGTAGGGGTACGGATGGTCTATTGTCTAGTGGATAGAGCAGAAGAGTGTCTTGAAGACGGATAAAAATCACCAGTGGTTTCCAGCTACGTGGGAGGCCTACTACCGTGATCGAGATAGTTCATCCGAGAACTGTAGGTTCACTCACCACGAAAAGAAACACAGGTATCTTCAGTTAGGAAACCTATAATCGAGATTTCACTGTACGATAGTCATTCTATTTCATCCCTTTACCCAACAGTTTAGTTTCAACCCCCGTTTTGTTACAGAATGAGGAAACAACAGATAACAGGATGGTGTATGCTGGCAGTGCTGGGGTGTTCAATGGTCAACCCCGTGCTGGGTTACCCAAGTGTGGTAACAGCCGCCCATCTGCCAGACAACAGCGATTGGAAGCCCTACGCGCCTGCCCCAGTACCCGCCCCTGCGCCTGACGCAGCCCCCGAGGCGCGCAAGTTTGCTGAGAAACCCAACGCCAGCAAGAAGGTGATCGCCTTGGAGGATAGGAACGACATTGACGATATCCAGACAAACCAGATATCTGTGAGTATAGAGTTTATAAATGTTACAAAAGTGAATTGTAAAGACATGATAGTGTAATTTCAGTCGCTGGTGAGTCTACTTAGGCTGTTTTAAGAGCCCCAGATGGAATGAGCCTTGAGTACCTTAGATTTGGAGAAAATTTCTATAAAATGTTCTTTCTTGGCTTGGATTACAGATTCAAGAGTACCGTAGTCAATCATAAATTAAACCGTTTGCTATGCAAAAATAAAATCAAGCCCAAAGACAAATTAAATGTACTTTGTTCTCAATGTAGATTTATAAAGATTAGCCTATATCCAAGGCAAATTCTTTGTACCATAGGCTAATTAGTTCAAGACAAAAGTATTCCTGTTGTAAACCGACTCCTAAAGATTTGAATTCCAGCCATAAACCGACCCTTTAAGATTCCTGTAAACCGGAATTAGTAAATATGAAAACTAGTATTATTTTTCATAATTTAATTTAACTGTAATTTCGTATGAGAATTAAATAATTTTTATGCTGTGTAAACCTTCAAGGCAATGCTGAAGTTGTTTGTCTATTAAATTTAAATGACAGTGAGATATTACGAGATAAAACTGTTGTAATTAAAATTGGGGAGCTGTAAATATGATTTTTAAGTTATGATTGATTTGCATAGACTCTTCATTGATGCGCCATTAACCCCTGTGAAAGTCTATTGTGTGTTAAGCGCTAAACGTCAGATATGTTTCAGGACGCAGGGTTCTCATGGAGCAACATGCTGGCCATGGTTATGCAGATGTTGTTCAACCCCATCGGCAGCCAACAAGTAGGACCTAACAAGTCCGACAGCATTGACACTGATCAGGTAAACCAACTGTTACAACACTTGAATATTTTGTAAATGATAAAAGAGCATTTTCTCAGCAAGAGCAATCCGGTAGTAAAACTCCAGAGGTTGCAAAAAAAGCCACCTCTCTTTTTAGTTTGTAATTGTATTAACTAGACGTTACTGTTACATGCTCTATTTACAATAGGAATAGAATATAACTTATTAAAACAAAAAAATTCCCATTAGCGTAAAAGACCCAAAGTTTGAGGTACGGGGACTAATACATACTGGAAGCTAGTACGGTAAGTTACCACTCTTCTGTGGGGAAAGGGGGGCTGGTCTAGTAGTAAAATGATAATACTGCGACCACCTCTAAGCCTAGTCTGAAGCATTGTGGAAAACAATAAATTCAGGGCTAGAAACTTGGGGAAAACTACTTTTCTCCAATGTCCACCATTTCTCCAACTTTCCTCCCACGATTAAAATAAAAAAAATCTTGTTAAAATAGTTTGAGACTTCAAAATCTGGGGCTGCGGTGTGGGGTTAAAAATCTTACTACTTATAGTACAGTAGGTTATTTTTAACCTCAATTCACAACCCAACTAAACTTCTTCTTCCATTTCCAGGGCATCTCTCCCTCCCCTTGGGCAAACCTGCTGACCATGGGACTTAAGATCCTCACAGCCATCCTAGGAGGAGGTGGTGCTCCCCAGGGCGATGGCATTGACAAGGTGGACAACTCATCCCCCATGCAGGTAACTTACACACTGATAGCTCACAGTGTACATACTGCAATTACAACTACAACTAGGGGAGTGTTGACTAGAAAATAAACAAGGTTATACAACCTCATATCTTTGAAAAAATCCATTCATTAGTTGGCTAGACCGAGATTCCAGATTGTATTCACAGAGGGATATTTTGTGCATACTAGGTTAGGCTCAGACTAGGAGTAAAATCTTCTGACAACACAGTTGATGCACAACAAAATATTGATTCTGACATAAAAATGTATTAAAAGCTTTCCTTTAGAGATAAAAAAAAAAACTCAAATGATTTAAATTAAACCTCAATATTATAAATGGATTTTTCTAGTTCAATTTTAGAGGTTCTCAAATAATTCATTTCAATGTTCACTTCTACAATAATGGGGTCTATTCCCAAGCCTAAGAGCTTTTCATTTTTAAGAAAAAAAATCAAAGAACAACATGATTCAACTATGCATTTCAATTTACATGGTAAATCTAAATTTTCTTGGTAATCAAATAGATACACGATTTTGTGTCGTTTTTTTTATATTTAGTCCCAGGAGTGATTTCCCTTACCATTCTACTTGCACCACTGACTACAAACTTTATGCATATAATATGTTAGCCACCCAAATAAATAACTCGGTTTACTTCCAATATTTAGTCCCAACCGAATCAAAATTGTTGGAGGAATGTGCTGTTTAAGTTAAATAGAGAAGCTAGTCTATATTAAAGCAACCATAATAATCTTGACACAAGCAATCTTTGTTATAAACATAACCTTGTTTAGTTTCTAGTCAATAAAGAAACTTAGCTATAGACTAAATCGACTTACATTAGCTGTATATAAAGTAGGTGTATTGAAAATGCATGAAAGTATTGAGCCAACTACATGGCACTCTAGACAGATAATTTTATTTCCTCAGTTTCTTTATCAAAACCAATTAAAAACTTTTAGTTTTATTATAAACCAAAATTAGCTCATTAACTCTGATCTTGTTTCAATCGATCAAGCAAAAGTAAATATTTATCCTTTTGAAAATAATTGAAAAATTAAGGTTTCTACTCACAGTCAACCTTATGACTTTTTAATGTGAAGGACCAATTCTTGAAATTCTGTTTAGCTTTTTTTGCTGTGAAATATGCTTGTAGAAAATCATCTTACACACTGAAAATGCTACTGCCACGCCTCATCTGAACTGTGCACATAATTTTACATAGTAATAGCAATAGTACCGGTAGCCTAGTAATTTGTTTGTTGTATCTTTCCAAACGTATTAAAAGGGATGTAGTCACTGATTAGTGCACCAGCCAATATGGCAACAACATGCTAAAAGGGGAAGTTGCCAGCTTGTAGTTACTTTTTCGTACTTTGTTGGGGGATAGATCGGTTCAATTTACAGCTCATCCACAAAAATTTGACCGCTTTCCTAACATTTCGGATTCTGTCTTACAAAATCATACTTACACGAGACACTAAAAAATAACGGTAATTTTTTTCTAAAATGAAAATAAATTAATCTCTATCACATTGTTAAGGCCCATGTCGGTTACATTCAAACAGTTTTAGTCGCAAATTAGACTCTACAAATAAAAAAACGGGGTGTCTGAATAAATCAGAAGAAACATGAGCCACCTGAGATGATCGATAATCAGTTGTATTGTATTGTTTGCGATGAGGGGTACAGAGGATGTGGCTGGCAGGTAGCGTGTAGTGTTTAGGGGTAGAGGTGGATGTAAAGGTGGTTGTGGGTGCTAGGGTATCCTGGCGGCAGTACTGTCAGCAGTGGTGGGCTCCAAGGACCCGGACCAAGTAGCGACCATGGCCAAGCAAGCTGGGGAGGTGAGTCTTGTACATACACAAAACCTTTACAAAATACTATATTAGGCGGAATTACTTACAGAACTCCAACTATCCAAATCATCTAAAGGAGAAAAAGAAATAAACAAACTCAGCAGGTTTATTACAGTTTGCGTTATCCATTACATATTTATAAGTGTCCATCTCGCAGCGAGTCTTTTGGGGTGTCATATCGACCGGCAAGGATAAGTCATCTGCCTACTACCACTGTCTTTTTATGATGTTTTTTATTTGAGTGGTTGATTATGTAGATGAGGTCAGTCCCCTTGAACCGGATGGTTGGAGCTCTACAGTAGCAATGTTAAGTTATATTTTTTATAGTTTAGTATTAAAATGCTAAGTTTTACTTAACACATACCGATTTTATGAAAAATTAATTGACAAAACTGCTATTGAACTGCCACATTAATTGCCATTATTGAGCTGATGAGAATTTATTCAATGCTATAAAATTTATGTTAAATCTTGTCTACATTTGGGCTGGCTACTCTCTAAAACTCTAATTAGAGATTATACCCAGTTTTTAGTACCAAAAATTGTTTTTTAATTTGTGTTTACTTAATTGCAGACATAATTAAGTTTAGAAGTTTTGTAGATCGTTTGGAGACAAAAAGTGAAATGCACATAGTGTAACAACCAATAAACAAAGAGATGTTGGTGTTGCAGTTTATCAACATCGTAGTTAACCTTCTGGATGCCCTCAAGACATCCTTCAGCCATAGATCCATCGCTGCGAGATCCATCGGCAGGAAGGATTCTGTCTCAGAGGCAGCCGTCGCAAGTTTGAGTCTGCTCAAGGTAGGAATGATAAAGTGTAAATATAAGAAAACACTGGTAAAACACATCCAAAAAAAATTAAGCAACAACATGAATGCGATCCATTGGTCTTCAAGCTATCACAGAAACCAGTTTATATGTCACTATGTATTGTAAATAAATAACACTGTACAGTTATAATTTGTAATCGACCAGTTGAAAATCTCGCTTTATATCCAGAGCTTCAAACCCTTGGTCAGTGTTTATATTGGAAGTCTGAGGTAAAGGTAGTTTTTTGTTATGTAAACTTCATAAAAATAACCCCAAAAAATAAAGAAACAATAACAGAAATTGTTTGGTGTTTTTCCTCTTGGCTGAAATTCAGATTAACCTTTCAAGTGTGTTTTTACCATAAATATAATATTTACACAGCGGTAACTAAGTCTATTGCTTATGACTATTGTATTACACACCTCAACCGTAGTGTGTTCGCCCAAAAAAATGACATAATAGGATCTACTACATCAGTAAACATTTTATAGGTGAGCTAATTATTATCTATCACAGGGATACGTTAGGACGATGAAGACAACAGATGACAATTGCCATGAGAAGTACATCTGTGAGGCCAACAACGAATGTGCAAACTCCATGAATGGTTCAAGCACCATCTACTGCCAACTGTCCACGTAAGTCTTCTACTTCACTCAAATCTCAATAAAAAATCAACACTAATTCTAGCTTTGTTGGAGGGAACATAATTTGCAGAGAGCATTAGACTTTATATCAAAACTCTAAAAGATGAATGAAAATTATCGAGTAAATATAAATTGATAAGTTTAACTGACAATGTCCAATGTGTATTAATTCTTTGTGCATTTATTCACGGACAATTGGAAATCCAAAATTTACTATTAATTAATTATATCCTTGTAAAATTGAAACAAAAAATGATGATTTTGAAGGACTAAATTATCAGGGTCTTCAACAATCAATGAGCGTTAATCCAGTAAAAAAAAACTGTCACATATTCCACAAGTTTGAGTATATTTTGTTCGCATTAACTGCTTCTTTGGTGATAACAATTTGTTTGGTTACAAAGTTTTATTTTATGAGATAAACTTCAACTTGGTGTAAGAAACATCAGTTATTTAGAAACAAAAATTCTATAATTTTTATTTTTACTTTTCAACTACTGTTAAGATTACTTAAAATAACCAAGAATAAATTATTAGCATATGGCAAGTCAGTGGCTTAGTTGGTGGCGCAAGCGCAATTGAGTTGATGCAAATACATTGATGTCATGGGTTTGGATCCTGGTGACCCGCGTCTCAAAATTATCAGTACACTTCACCCTTGTCCAGTACTGGCTCACCCTTTCCTTTGCTGGATACGTTTCAGGCACCGGTCTGAGGCCTATGTGGACGGGCAAATGTAAAACTAAAACTTGCTGCCAATCTCTTTAAAACCCAAAAAATCAACACGTCACAGATCTGTTCTTTATAAGATCTTGAGGCACAAAACCATAACCGAACCACAACCATGATTGATGATATAAAACAGCATTCGTTCATTAATCGTCTTCAGATGACAATAGATTATTCAGGTTAGGCAAGGTATATAATAATACCCACACCCACTTTGCCACATAGTTAACATAAGTTTGTTTGTTTTCAACAGTTACGCAGCCAGTTTCCTGCTGCAGAGGACTGGCGAAGCGCCGTTCGACAAGTTCTACGAGGCCGGCAGACGAGGGCGAAGTGGTGACGATTGTCGACAGCTCTACTTAACTTGTAACGAAGTCTAGTGCTCACCCTCCGATCTCTCACCCTCCCCTTCATCCCATCAGTCACCCTTGTTATTTATTAAGTGATGTGTGATTGTCGACTGAATGTATCGAGAAACATCTTCTTCACTAGGTTAAACGGATAGAGAAACAGAATAAGGCTCCTGAATGTTGGAAAGATGTGAGTTCCGCTCACCAGCCGTGGTTAGTTTATAGCTATCTACCAAAGCAGAAAACATTTCCATTCACATAGGTGCTAGGTCATCAAATAATTTCCAATCCATATACTAAGAATAAGTATATAAATATCCCGATAGATTGATTTCATTATTTATTTAGATTATTATTTATTTGCGTTGTTATTTATTTTTACAGTTTTTTATACTTATTTATTGAAAGAAAATATTTATTGATTTGAATTTGTTGTTCACTGTTACTCTGCGCAATAAGTTTGATGTTTTCTATTAGAAACGATAATTTGATAAATGTTAAGTTAATATAGTTTGTCTCTTCTGTATGAATGTGTGTGTGGTCATAAATAAATATAAATTATTTATTTATAGTGAAATTTTGTTTTTATTTCCCCTACCTGAGTTTATACAATACTGTTTTAGAGATACTACATTTTATTGAGTCACCTAGTTTTAACACAGCTAGGAATCAATCATATTACTAAGACCTTGTAGAAGATATTTTTGAAATGATTGGAGCTGGGTTGTTCATAAATAAATATATATTGTTTAGAACACTAATGCAAATAACCCAATCATACCCCATCCATTAGGGAAGAATGTAAGTTGAAAGGACTGTAAACAACAGTGATATGATGAGTTTATACATACCACCCAACTAAGCCTAAGCTCTTAGGTTTGTGTATTATGAGATATTAGGAATAACAGAATGTCTATTCCAAAGCACTTTGATTACAATTTAAATCACTCAGTTTATATTTTAGTAGAAGAATGTTCTTCATGAACTTACACGGTAAAATAAGTTAAGAAATGTGACATTATTGCGTAGTTTGTCCATGCTGGTGAAGGGTTTAAAGGGGGAAAAGGTTTTGAATAACAACATTATCTAATGTATCTATATAATTAATACGCTACATGAAACTTTCTCGGTTGAACTCCTCCACCATTTCTTAACCGATTTTTCCCATTGACGTCTCATTGGAAAGAGCGTGTCGCGTAGATTTGCAAACTGACCTTTCATTTTTGAAAAAGTCCCTTGGGCTCTGCCCCAGTGGCTATTAAATTTCCCATGTTATCCTTACAAAGAACATCATTGTTTACATTTTGATCAGCTGTATAATTTAATTGCTGTTATTTATTTTTCAATTCAATGAAACGCATTGGGTACCGGTACATTTACTGATTTTGATGAAATTAAATATTTACTATTTTAATTTACATTCATACATATTACAATGTAAAAAATCGAGAAAACCTGAACAATTTTATATATATTTTATCAAATAAGAAAATTGAATTGACATAGTACTGTATTTCTTGATAAATCATTGAAAGAACCGATTTGTTAACCGTGGAAACATAGCAAAGTCATAGAACGCCACCAAGTAGAAGAAACATTAATTAAAAAAAAGTTTACTATCGTTATCATTGAAGGATTCACATTATTCCCATTTAAAGGAAACAAAAAAACCATCTGAACGATATTAGGCTTTTCAATTCTGCATTTTTCAGGTAAATATAATTTACCATATAACAGTAACTAGCCAAATGAATGCCAATTGATGCAAATAAAATTGTGTTAGAGAGGTTATGCAGAAAATCAGGTAGTTCTTAGTCAAAAAAAATGTTATCGCTATAAAAAAATTTACTGAAATTTGTAAACGTACTGGCGACAATGGGTGGTACCATGCAGACTATATTATCAAAGATCAACACGGACAACCTAATACGGCTAAGTGGGAAACATTTGATAAAACTAGATGAGCTTTTTGAAAAATGATCAAATATTTACATGAAATGTTGATTATATCTTTATGGAATTGTTAGGTATGTAATCTATGAGTAGAGTCTTTTAAACTCATCGGAAATTATGAGGACTTTTATTTGTTTTAAATAACTACTTTACTTCTTTGCAATTGCTCGATTTCGAGCAAAGTGTTTACTAGTGAACATTAAAACCGGTACCGTAGAGGGTCTTAGAAATGTGAGGCGCTGCAGCTTTTATTACTACACCACTGAAGTGATATTCCTTTCTTAACAGGTAGTGTCGTCAACTCTTAGCACCACTGGTGTAAACTTATAAGACTTAAACATGAATGGATCATCAAGTGAGTCCTCTTCATATAAACGCTTGCGCAAAGTGTTTTGGGAGTTTGAAGATCTCAAATTATAAATATTACATGATTAATACAATAATAACAGGAAAGGGACAGTGGGAAGCAGCTTGTCTGGAGATTAGATCACGGAACCTTTCCGAGCCATAAGTTCACTTCTCACCAATCTCCGATAAAAATGTGCAATGTGATAATACTGAAAGTCCACATTGGATCAACATTTCGGATAATAAATGTATTCTAGGCGACAGCCATGTCTGCAGGCCTATTAAAAATTTGACCTTTTACAAAAATTAACACAATAAAAAAATTCACTCTTCTTCCTTATGGTGATTTTGTACCGGTACCTATCATTTGATAATATTTCTTTTGGAATACAGAACAATAAATGCTAAAAAAAACAAAAAAACACATTTAAATTACTCTTACCAGATAATTTGAGCTGTAATGCAGTTCTTAAACTGTGGAGTGATGCTTTAGTGCACTGAAGGCATTTCACAATATTCAAGCACGCATAAGATGACAATAATAAAACGACAAAAATATTGCAACTCAAAATACCATAATTTTACACAATTAGTAGACTGTTGTTAACTTCAAAGTGACGGTAAATTATGTCAAATTAATGATTTTCAAATTTCAACCAGTTTATATGGGTAAAAATAACTTGTGTTTTTTACCATTCTGGAACGATAATTCAAAGTAGATTAATTAATGATGGGCCTCCAAGATAACTCAAAATTATCCTGTTCAAGATAGTATAAATGCCATAAAATGATTACCAGTTTCAAGTACTGAGATAAAACAGAGTTTTAATCTTCTGATGAACAACCATTAAAAACATAAAAAGCCAAATTGGGTTTCTCTTATTAACTTTTCATATTATTTCACCCTTGCAGCTCAAAAAACAAAAAAATAGATAAATAAAAGTAAAAAAATTGCTTGAAAATAAAAAACGCGTTTTAATCACTCTTATTAGGACAACTTATAATGAATAAGACAGTACAATTCATCTCTAAGAAGACGAACTGGCAAGATTAGTGTTTTCACAAATATATATATTTTATAAGTGACGCCACTTTTTCACAGTCTTCAAGATTCTACTTGCAGTATAGTAATTGGAGAATAAATAAATACCCACATAAACAAATGAGATAGACTCTTTTAGATTGTAAAATAAAAGAGTTAGTACGCAAAGAAAATCTAATTTTAAAATATTTTTATTGCACATTGGTAAATACTAACACTTTCGCTACATTTTGAGATAAATTTCATAAAACACCAAAGGAGATGAAACGACAAAGGCAATGACTTCAAAGTAAAACATTATAATGATGATGAAATTCAAACTCATAATAAACCAAACATTGTGAATACATAATAAACATAGGCAATGTTAAACTCTGTTTTAAATAATGACAACACCGTTGATTGACTATGCTATCTTTTGCAAACATTTTGGCAAAGGGTTTAATTTCAATGAAAACACAATATTATGCCACCCACATAGTAAAATAACACAAATACTTATAGCAAACTTAGAAAAACCTTTAAAACAATTTTATTGTAGAATATGCAGAACGTTATGCGATGAATTTTTAACGTGAATGATTATGTACACTTATACATCAAACACTTTAAGCTAAATGTAATGTGGCATAGATTAAGTTTTGCTGTACCATCCCATGTTTTAAAGTATTATCAACTTATATTTTTGGTTGCCTGATAAAGCTCGCTATCCTGCATGAAGTAAGATTATTGAAGCATCTTCAACAAGAATCATCAAAACTGTACCAGATCGCATAAGATAAAAAAATATCGAAATGCATCACGAGGAAACAATAAGTGAAATATGTGTCAAAGTACAGTAAAACTGTAATTTTACCCAGGTGTATTAGACAATCTTAGGAGTAACAAGACTAAAAGCAAAATTTTGCGATAATTTTTAACCATAACTCAGAGTAAACCCGTTTTTAGTATCAGTATATATTCCAAATCACTATCAAAAAAATACACGAATAGAAATCGTTAAAACTGCGTTTAAATTCATTACTCGACCACTGTGCATAAAATAAAACATAAAGTACGAGATCTTAGTCTAAGAAACATTAAAATGTTGAGAAATACTTATTTTCTATACTAACTACATACTGTAATCTAAAGTAATAAAGACATGACGTACTGTTCTTTCAACAGTCATTAATTAAAACAAGGATAGATAAAATACCAGCGTTATCTAATTATGAAGCATGCTAACCTCAGTATGCTATGAGGAAAGCCAAAGTAAAATGATGACTCTGAACACTAATAACTTTATATAGTCGGTATCCTTAACTAAGGATTAATAATATCCGCGTCCTCCACCTCTGCCTTGCATTTGGAACCGGTTATATGGGTTTTGGTTTTGGTAGTTTTGGTAATCCCCATAGCCTCTCCCGTAGTTACCCCCAAAACCACCTCGGCCACCCCTTGGACCTCCACGCCCTCCCTGGAACCCACCACGACCCCTATTTTGAAACTGGTTTTGATTTTGAGGAGGTGTCTGTTGAGGTTTAGGTTTTTCCGGTTCCGGTTTATTAGTGTTTTCCTCCGTCTTTTTATCGTCCGCAGCAGGCGGGTTTGCTTCAGGTTTCACACCTTCTTTCTTCTCTTCTTCCATTTTTTCTCCAGGGTTTTTCGCCTATAACAATACAGTTAGTTTTCACTGTAGATTTATCAAACAGTCAATGGTCAATTCCAAAACTTAAACAACAAATTCAACATTTTGTATTTAGCAAAACTTAGGCCAATATTCCAAATTTACTTTTGAGATTTCAACTATGGTTTAACATTTTTACTAAAGGTATGAAAAAGTACAAACCGTTTAAACATCAAAACAAACAATTCCTAACTTAATCAGTGATATAATTTATTGACACTTGGCTTTATGATAAAACACATTCAATGTAGAATCTTTAACTTTTTCATTTCTGATCAATAGCAAGAAGTTTAATTTTTCATGATAGAAGAAAACTATTACTAACCAATGAATTTACTCATTCCTTATTATTTGTTAGAATTGCCATACGTCTACAATAAAACATTTTAACACAGATATTTGCAATAAGAACACAAATTACACTGAAATCTCGCAAGTGGTTTTGTTTGGATTTTAAGTGCTAAACTTTAAATTTGTAATTTGAAATGACATACTAAAAAAATATTACAACCCACCTTGGTGTCGACATTTCCAGTGATCCTCTCGTGAAATAAGTTGCTCACCTTTTCAATGCCAAACTTCATGAAATTTGCATTTTTTTACTTTAAAAGTTGGCAAAGGCAATGAAAAGGTGACTGTTTTGAATAGTTTGGATTTTAAAAATCAATAAAAACTCAAGTTAGGCCTAAAGTATCAGAAGAATAATATTAATTAAACGGATTATTCTTTATGATACTTTTTTATTGCTATGCGGATCTATATAATGCTCAGTTATAGTGTTTTACTTGGTGTAGAGTGAGATTAAGACTGCCGTAGGTCCCGGATGTGCAAGACAGTCACCGGTTTGTGATAATTGTCTCTTTGTTCAAAAAATGGTTTTCTAGCCAGAGACTATTTGTCATGAGTTTAAATAAATATCTCTTAACATTTAATGTTGAGTTTGAAATATTAATAATACGTAATAAATAAACATTAGAGTATGATATTGCTTCAGAGAAGAAAAACACAGTGCCGGTTATAATGATGAGATATGTGGTAACAGAAATTAGTTTTATGTATAATGCTTTTAATTTTTAAGTACTGTACCGTGGAAGACACATGAAATAAACACACCCTTCCCCTCCCCCCAAAACTTGAAACAATGGTGCCGTGGTTTTGCTCACCAATATTGCAACACTATGAGTGATGATTATAAAGACACTAAAACTAGTTATTGTAAAATTAGTTGTATCCTTAAGAGAGTAGATATGATTTGAGTCTGTGGTTTCCGTTGAAAAAATAATCAACCACCAATAATTTTTGATCTTGAATCACATAGTGTGATTTTTCAAAAGCAGTAATGTACTATGAGTAAAAACTAACCAGTTAAAAAAAGTATATAAACCTTGTAACAAAAAATCAATAAAAAACTACATCTTTTATTTAACAAACGCAAATATCATTGACGGTGTGTTTAAACAAGTACATAGCTGTAAGAATAATAATTAATAAGAGAGAGTGATAATAAGAAGAATAATAATCCCAGGATTACGGATTATACAGTGATATTTAAAGTTTAAATACTAGTAAATTAAAACCAGTTCCGTTTGTTCCATTCTATAGCTTTATCTGTTGTACCAATACACACATACTAACTTACTGAAGAGCAAACTCAAACTCAGAAGGACTAAAGTCTTTAAAAAAACTAATGATAATTGTTGAGATCAGCTGATTATGGTTCTGCGACTCATTAATTGAAAACAACTGGGTCGCGCAAAGATCAACGAAGTGTTACGCAGGGTGACAACTAACAACCGCAACACCACTCAGTTCCAGCAGACGTGTTCCTGGAGTTCAGATGTGACCTGAAGATCAGCCAGTACGGTGAGTACGATGTGTTAATGCCGAGATGTGTTTAATTTATACGGAATAAACTCAATTCATTTGATAAAATTATTATTTCCTGGAGGGAAAATACTAGTAAGTACATGTAGATCTGGACATAACATGATCTTAGTTGTCATTTAATGTTAAGGAGCTTCTGTGTATTAATTCTTGATAACAATTAATTGTGTAGGTAAAAATTCTAGCTGGTACATATTATTTTCAAAGATCTTATCGGGTTACATAAAATGTATTACTCTGGGTTTCTTTTAATGGACAGAGAAGTAGCGATTACTGAAGCACCCATGGTACAGCCTAGGTCAAGGACCGATGCTTATTTAATTACAGTAGAACTCCAATTATCCGAACTCCAATTAACCGAATTGCCGATTATCCGAATCGCTTATTTCAACAATTTTAATAATGTAAAGCTACAGTAATAATAAGGTTTGGAAAATATCAAAGAATTTTTATTAAGAACAAGTTTAGAACACTTGTGCTAAGAGCATTGTATACTGTAAACATGTTCTGATTTCATTTATTATTAATTAAAAATTCATTTAGTACCGGAAATGAGGAGTTTTCTTGGAAATTCCCGGAATTCCTGTAAAACTCCGACTATCCGAATTTTTGATTATCCGAATGGGGTCTGGTCCCAATTGATTCGGATAATCGGAGTTCTACTGTAAGAAGCTCTTAAAGCTGAACGTTCAAAATATTATGAATATGAGTAAGTGGGAACAGTAAGTCTTAAACAATTTTCCTATTTTTATCAATTTTAGATTAAACCATTAAATAAAAATTTCATAAATATGTAGCAATTTAAACTGGAATAGAAATTAAAACCAACATAACCATTCGAATCAACAAAGCCCTGCTATAATTAATGACATAAGGTGGACAAGAAAAACCATCAATAACGAGATTCGTCACATTAAATAAACAAGAAACAAAGATTTCTCTTTTGCAGAGCATAGGATGGAAACTGGACATTGTCTGGATACTTCAAGATGGTAGATGCAAAGCAGACTGTTTAATTGATGTTACTTCCAGTATTTCAGTTTTGTTATTACAAATTCCCAAGATAACCTGGACCCTGGATAGATGAATGTTGTAAATTATCAGCAAAAACACTGGTTGGATAATTAATGGATTACACTGTATATTATTATCTACAACTTCTATTTCCACAGAGAGGTAACTTGTATTGTTTCAATAGAGGATGACACTATCAACTTTTCTCAGCGGGCATGTTGAAGCACCTTCAAGTCCAGATCAGATTCCAGCTCCAAACTTAGATCCAACAAGATCGGATTGGAACAGCCATGGTGGAGGGGGGTGAGTATATTGATAATAAACTTTTTAAAAGCATTGACTTTTTTGAAAAAAAAAAAACTATAGGTAAGATATCGATCAAACCCAAGAGTAAAATTTTGTCTCAATTCAGTAAGGAAATGGAAGAAGAAGCAAATTGCCTTAATTTAAATAAAACCATCTGAATTTTTATAAAGAGATCTACCACATGGATGGTGGCCCATACTAACAAATTCTGTATAAGCTCCATTTAAAATGGAGAAAATAGATAAATACAATCCTAAGCGATATAAGAGTAGCTTGTGACTATAGTGATGAATAATGCAAGCTCAAAAAAGAAAACGGACAAAAAAGTGGAAAGAGCTCATTTTACGGATTAATTTCCTGTTGTAAACCTTGACAATTAGCATGGTTTGATTTCTACAACAGGAGGAAGAAACCCCTCCTAGATTTGTTATCAGGTTAAAACTTGGTCTAAAAATTTCTTGTCTTGTTTAGGAATGATTCAATTAGTATTGACTTATTCTAGGTGGAGAGGTGGAAAGGGAAACACCAATGCAGCTCTATCAGCTCTAACTCTGCTGGCTTTTCTATTCTTTCTAAACGTTCTACAGGTAAAAGAAAATTGTATTTGTACTAAAATAAGTGGCTTAGAATGATGGTAATATCTGAAAAACAACAATAAGTATCTGACGATAGACAGGGTGAGCGGTCACAAGTGAATTAGGTAATGACAGCTAATTACTAAATTATGTCAGTTTATATTGAATGTTCACAAGATCAACAAAATAATGTCTACTTTAGAGGGGTTGAGTGTTAAAATGTCAATTCTTTTACATTTTAGAACCATGGATGAATTGAAAGAATAAAAATAGTTGAAGAGATAAAATGGTGACAATAACCAGTCCCAAAATAAGCATCACTGGAAGGCAGTTTAGTGATATTGTAGGCATGCAGAAGAAAAAAAAACAGGAGGAATGCCTACTAACAGTGGATTTAAGTTCATTTGTCAATTTAGGTAATATTTTGCCTATTTCCAAGACTGTATTTATTTAAGTGGAATAGTAGTTTTGGTATCTTTTATAGATTCGATAAAGATTTTTCAAAACTGTCCTAACTGGACTACCTTAAAGCATCAAGTCTCAACCATGCTGTAATTCCTTCCAAATTCTTTATGAGGATACAATCTATACTATTATATAAAAATCTAATGGTGTCTGTCTGTATGTGTATTACTAATAGGTGCAAAAACTACTGAACCAACTGGGCTTAAATATTACAAAAATATAGCTACTATACCAAGGACCATTATAGGACTATTCACATTTCGATACTGACCGTAGGCTTTGCCCCTTTGGCTTTAAAAGTTCTGAGGTGAACATTTTAAAAGTAAATATTGATTGGTCTCCATGGCTGCGATGAGAACACTAACTAACAATGTTTGTTTACATTTGCTTTGACACTTAAATGTAGACAAGAAGAACTGCTAAACTGCATATTTCACCATTTCAGACAGCTGATACAAAGAAATTAAATATAATACTTTCCATAACTATGAGGTAGGTTTATTTTAATCTAAGCTTTTATCATGGATTATTTATTTTAAAACTATGTCAATGATTATATAAATAATTCTATAACCATTGCTGTATCAACTCCGGCTCTGCTTTGGATTTTTTTAAAGCGTCAAAGTTATGAAAATAATGTTATTGATATGTTTTCATGGAAACAGTATGAAAATTACAATGTATAGATGTTTTGTATGAATTTGGAGGCTACTTTACAGAAATTCTAACTGCTGCTGT